GCCTCTACTCTGTGTAGTGGGAGTTAAGAGTGCTCACAGACTTTTCCAAACTTTCCATTGTTCATGTCAGCTGAGCTGGTTCTCTGATCTTTCTTAGGAAAATACACGGAAGCACCCACTGAGAGTTAATTCAAGCCCTCACCCTGCATGGCATCAGACACCTCCTTTGATTACTCTGACTCCAGTGTCTCCCTTGTAGGATGGACCTCATCAGTGTGGTGCTGTGGATCACATGAAGTTCCTAAAAGTTTTCAAAAAGGTATGGATTATTGTTTTTAATCACTTTGTGTTCTTAAAAACGTCACTTGCAAGAATGCTGCTAAGGAGGGGAAGAAACATGTCTTTCTGGGCCCTTTGGGGCTGTTTTTATGCTTACAAACACATGCACTGCAGAGACAGGGGCACTGATTAAAAGTCGGTGACACTCCATAGCTCATGGTTATACACTTAGTTAAAAGCTGAAGTGAATGTAGCCCCAGGAACCTTATTAATCTGCTGTTTGATTAAACTACCTTTCAGCTACCTTATTAAATTGTGATAGTTTTAGAAGAATAACAAGAAAGTCATATGAAAGACAATACTTCTTTAGGGTGTTATTTTGTGTTCTCATTGACTACTCATAACTAAGAGGGGAAAAGGCCTTTTATCCAAGGTTGGAAAAGATGTGACAAGCATTAATGTCTTCTTCTGTTTGTTTTTTTACTAACATATCCATATGCAAGCACCATTGCACTGCACAGGTAAAACTATTTCTCTGTTAAGTCTCTGTGGCCACGTTCAACTGAGGCCAGGGAAGTGAATTAACACTGGCATACAGCTTTGCCACTGATAAACCCACTGCACAATTTGCAGTTGAAAAGGTGATTTCAGACACAGAACATCTCAAGAAGGAAGCTCCCATGCAGCATCGGTGCCCCAGTTTTATTTCTTAATTTATTAATTTGCTAATTACCACTATGGCAGCACCTGAAACCTCAGCTGAGGCCAGACTTCCATGCATCTAGCACTAGCAAAAATGCATGGTCTAAAATGAAGGGTTTCTCAGCTTGTTTGCCTCCTGTTCTTAGTTTGATATACAAATTAGGGGTTCAGTACCATGATGACACTACCTCTGCCTAGGAGGTGATGGAGCTTCCACTCATTGTTAAGGCAAACTCAAGTTTGTCTTCTTGGTCTGTGATATATCAGGAGATGCACAATCTGCAGCTCTAACTTTAGAGATAAGTAATGCTCTAGAGCAGTAATTTTCATGCAGAAAAATAATTTCCAGGAGATGCATGAAAATATGTCAGACACTGCCTTTATTTTATACTTCCCTGACTAGTAGATGAGTGGTACCTTGAGTGACTGTCCTTGGTTGCCTGTCCTGATGGAAGAAGACAGAAATCCTGCTTTAGATAACTGAGTATATATGTGAAAGGGAGCTTGAATGCTCTGTGATATTCACTAGCAATGCCATTTATCGCAAACAAGTCTCCAGTCTATGCTACATCTATTTGAAGAGAATATAAACTATGTTTGAGTTTCTGATTATTTAATACTTTCATTTCACTTGCCTTTAGGAAGTGGACTCAGGCATAAGAATCAAACAGCTACAAAATCTCTTGTGATTCCTTCTCAAAGAATAAAATAACTAACTTGATATATCAAGACATAATTCAGGCTAGAGAAGTTACTGCTGCTAGAAGTGGATTAGTTGAGTTACCATTGTTCAGCATCAAGAGATATTGACCTATATTTGTCTGATATTAGAGGTAAAACCAACATAATAATTTTTATTAAATGGTTTTTAAGTGTATTTATAAAGAAAGTCTAATATTTACTAGCTTAAATAGTGCTTCTATTTAAATATTTTTACAAGCTAGGGTAGGTAAAAAGTAATTCCTGGAGCCTAAGTCCTCAAACATAATTTATATGCCAAATGAAATCCATTGCTGCTGTTTCTTAAAACTAAATAATGCAGCATTAACCTCTCCAAGCTCACCAGGCTCCTGACTCTCATCAGCATTCAGTTGTTGATGAATTGCCAACATTTTTGATGTAAAAGCCATATAAACAAAAGTGCAAATATATTTAAAATGTAAATACTTTTTGGGGGGAGATCAAGGAAGAGATTAAATACCTCAGTCTGGCAAAGGATGTGAGGATGTTCCTTAAACCCTCTTTGACTTCAATAGGACATAAACATATGCTTGAGGTTTGGCATGCTCAGAGCTTTGAAGAGAACATTCACAGGCACATCTGGGAATTGCAACACAGAGTGGTATCCTACTCAGATTTTGGGAGACCAGCCACATACTGAGCCTGGAGGCTTGAGTTAGATGTCTATAAACATGGCAAACACAGGTAAAGTCCAAACCCCTGGTACACCAAGTGCAGGGAGGGGGCAAACAGCTAACAGGCAATTAGGAGGATAAAGTTTTAGTTTATCCTAATTGCCTGTTTGGGCCCCCTGCTGTAGGGGATGCAGAGCAGGGACAGGTTCCTAGAGCCAGCCTGCTTTAGGAGCTGGGACCCCATGGGACCACACTGGTCCTTCAGAAGAACATGAGGAGGGAAGGTACAGTGCCACAGGCTCCTTTGTGGGAGATCTGTGCAGCTGCCTTACCTTCCTCTGCCAAAGAGTATTTGCTCTGACCAACAGCAGGACAAAATGAGACAGGGGATGTTAGCTTCCAGTCATATTCTGGGCAGCCTCCAGTCCATCACTATGCTTCCAGCCACAGGAAGGATGAGAAGATGGGCATGTTGTTGCCACCCCATAAGGTTTTGATGTCTGGGTGCTAATCACACCCCAGCCTCACCTGGCTGAGGGGAAGGCTGAAAGCAGATCTTCCAGGGAGCCACAGCAGCGAAAGGGAAGGGCACGTGGATGTCTGTTGTGCCTGGCATTAGTTGACAGCTGAACTTCAGAAAATTGACATATTAGGTGTAGATTTCTGCAGGAACAGACAGGTTAGATACCTGTGCCTACATCTTCTGCTGGATGCAGTGCCAACTTTTCACCTGAAGTTGATTTTCAGCCCAGGCCAAATTCACCATCAGCAAGTTTAAATCTGTTTTGTAAATAATTTCAGTTACATCTCCCTGGTGCTTCACTGTATTTTCCCGAGGCTCCTATGGCTCATACCTTTATTGAGTCTCTCCACACTCAATGTACCTATTGCCTGTGTTGTCCTCTGGCCATTTTCCCTGGTACTAAATAAAGCTTTCAAAACTATCCAAAGCAATTCTCGTGGAAAAAGTACACATACCTTATGAGCATCATTTCTAATTAGAACATCTCACAGCCAAGTTATCATTTATTTTATTCTAGTGTATCTTCTTAAAATGATGTTGTTATTGCACTTAGCCTTCATCTAACAGAAGAGTTTTGCATTAGCATAGTAATGGCCCTGAAAACAGCTAATGGTCTTACCTTTGTGTTGAATGGGAGCAGGAGATCAGTTAACAGAACTGCGGCTGCCCAATATCATAGAAATAGATTAAAAAGCCATAACTGTGGCATACTGAGGGTGGTGGTGGGGGTCACACTGTGTAATGTCTGTCTATGTGACTGAATGTTTTTCAGAGGTATCATTCTTACTTTTGTCAAGGGGTTCAAGTATTTTGTTTCATTTCTTGTAGGGGAAGGCAGAAGTTGGAATATTGCATTATATGATTTTTTAAATATAAACAGAAGTCTATACAAGATGCAGGTAATTTGTGACCTGGTACATTGGAAAAAATGACCTTGTAAATGCTGATTTTCTCATCATTTTCAGTTTACAAGAGCTGTGGGAGAGGAGAGACATTTCTTGGAGGGGATGAGAAAAAAGGATACAGAGGAAACAACAGTTTAAAAAAAAAAAGTAAAAATTTCAGCCTGATTCAATTTGTGGTTTGTAATGTTGGAATGAGCAACCTGAAGAGTTCAAAATATTCAGCTGTGTAGGATGCCCCTTAGTGGTTGAATATATACACTGTTGACAGATGCAATAATTTTAAACACTAAAAAACCGCAAATAATATTTGTATTTAGTAACTGAGAACAAAGGATTTTAAATGCTAACATATGTACAGAAGAGCCCACAAAGCTATGTTTACATAAAACATCAGAAACAGTTGGAAAAATGCAAACCAATAGTAAAAGAGCATTCTTGAATAAGCTATTGCACCAAGTGAGAAAAAAACCACGGAGAAGGAGGGGAAAAAAGCTTAATCTCTATTTTAATCAAAATGTATATTATGGGATGAGTTGGCTTTGCAGAGGAATTTGATCAGATGTGTAACTTCACAGTGAAACCCAACACAATATTTTTACTGATACTTTCTAGAACAGAGAGTTACTGTACAGAGTTATGAAGTTATCTGGTCTGGAGCCATGGGCCTTTCCCAGCACCATATGGCTGGTGTAGCCTGTGGCCATCTCTGCTGTGGCAGAAGACTACCAGCTTGTGTTACATACACAGACATTGCTACTCAAAAGGCATCAGGAAATGTTTAAGATCCAATAAAAAAGGCTAGAGTGCACAAATTCTGTAATACACACAAATGTACATATCTAGTTAGAATAGTGAAGAGAGTCAATGGGAGATTACTTTCATTCGTTCTAACTCTTATTAGAGGAATATGTTGCCTTTAACTTCTTTTCAAAACCAGTCTTTGCATCAGAGTCAATTTGCAAAAGCTGCAATGCAGTGCAATTCTCCTGAAGCACGGCACCCCCATCAACCTGTTTACACCTACTCTGAATGTAACCACATGTTTATACCTTTAGGTCTCTCTCTGTGTATACACTGGATAACAAAAGAAGTCCATTGTATTTACAGACGGTTTTTGTTATTTGGAAATCTGATGATTCTGATAGCAGTTTTTTTCTTTCTTGAAGATGTCTGGAATTCTTCCATTTTTTTAACTTTGCACGTAGAAGTCACGACTGCAAAGTGTCTCATTACCTCCACACTGGTAACTGAGGCAGAAAAGCCACTCATCAGCAGTACTGACATAAGCCTGGACTTCTTGGGTCACATCCCAACACAGCTTAAGGGGTCAAGGGAAATCTCTTTGTTTGAGTTAGCTGATGAGTGCTGTAGCTGGATATACTGATCCCAAATACTCCCAGGAGGAACGCTGCCCGTTGCAGTGCTGTGTCTGATGGGTTGATAACAATTTTTGCTGCAGCTTGAGTCTGTGGGAGAAACAGGGCAAGTTACATGCTGATTCAGCTGAGTGCAACACAAAAGAAGGTCTTTGGAACCTACAAAGCACTTCTTTCTTCTCCATGCCATTTAACATAGTACGATTCTGCTTTCTGCTTAAGAGTATTTGTCACGAACTATTGCATGTTTTGGACGGCCTCCCTTTTTATCAGTTTGCAAAAGAAAGGACACATTTCTGATATGATTTTTCTTTCAATTGCAACTGTTGATTTTGGTGACTTTAATGGGGTTCCACGTGGCTACCGTGCTGAGAGGGAGAGATGAATCAAGTGTGGAGGCTTAGGCATAAAGGAGAAGGAACTTTCTTGTTCAGCAAAGTGCAAAGATTTCTTCCTTCCCACAGATTAGCTGCTAACACAGAGATGCTCCCTTGAACGTTAGGTATTAATTCAGGAAAGCAAGGCTAAAAGGGACCACGAACACCGCTCATGAGCTCTAGAAGTAAGACTAGACCAAGCAGACAAGTTTTAACACAGTCACTTTGTCAAGTACAACCAAGACACAAAGTCTTCGTTCAAGACAATCAAAGTAAAGATTAAAAAAAAATCAATTACCTATTATCTGAAAAACAATCAAAAAAGAAATTAAGTTACTGTTGCTTGCCTAGTACATATGATACACTAACCAAGAAGCAGAAACACTGTTGCATGGACTCTCTAGAGAGCAAAATACAAATTCCAATACACACTGGTTCTTCAAGTTAAAACATATCATGTGTCTTTCTAGTTGGTGCATTTTGTTTTTGTACATGAAAAGAGGACTAGGCCTCAAATAATGTTTTTAATGATTTCCCTTGCAATCTGTGAACAGAAAGCATGGATGGCACCACTGAGAGGAGCAAGAGATTCCAAGGAGCCTGATTTTCACTTCCATATTCCAGTTTTTATAGAGCTTAAAGAATCAGAGCTGAGTGCTCTGACCTTGATCAATGTATCTAGCTAGGGTTTCTTCAGCAGTAGAATAAATAAAGACAGTGGAAATTCCGAACAGAATTACTACGTAGGGTGATACCAAAAGATATACAGGGAAGTATGAAAGAAATTCACTGCTAGGTCTGAAACACAGTATCTTTAGCTCAGCCTCTCAACTACTCAATCATCATCCCTCAGCTACTATAGCCTATGATTCTGGATGCAGATCACATTTTTAAGAGCTGTGACATTTTCCACAGAAAGGATAGATACACTGTAAATATCAAAATATGTAGTAAAATAAGGAAGATGTTCTACTTTGGTATACATATGTATATATATGTATATATATATATATACTTGGCTGCTTTAGTCTCAATTATTCAGTTGTTTTAAAGCATTTTCTATGCTTGCTTTTATTTTTTTTTCATATAATGATTGAATGTCCCCCTGTGTTCCAGAGTGCATCACTGACTGAGGTTTCTTTATCACAGCCATGGAAGCTGGCTGAAGTGTTTCACTGACAGCTCATCTGAGTTGATCAGGAAGCCATCATCCTTCTTCCCATTAACATTTTCCTGCTGCTCCAAATACACAAAGCCATTGAAAGAGAAAATTATGGAGAAGCAGTTTCTGTTTTAGCACTGCAGAAGCATAAACTCCTTCCAAGTATTCTGCATTTGGTATTCCACCATGATACCAATTATCAAGATATATCATAATTCAATTGCCTTTCAGCAGAGGCTTAATTAAGCCTTCTTTGTGTTGTTATGTAAGTTAGCCCACAAGAAACAAGTCTTCCCTTGGGTTGGTCATGCAATAATTTGAAATAAAATCAGGCTGGTCAAGAGAAACAGAGGTACTTTGAAGATCAATTAAAAGCAGAAAAAAACCCCAAACCCACATAATTTCATACCTGCAATAACCTTATATACCCAGGTGTCATTCTCCGGAGAGGAATCATCATGATTTCTGAGTCTTCGTAGAATTTCAGCCCCTTCAATTCTAGAACACACAAATCATTACTAAATCCCACGGACTTACTACAAATTGACCTCTTAATGAAGCATAAGATTAAGCCTAATATTGTTTGCTACAATGCCAAAAGCACCCCAAGAAGCACAGTATGCAAACATATTTTCCTCACCTGATGCTCTTCTCCCTCGAGCCCTTTACATGCTTTGGGTCCCGGGGCATATAAAGCCCAGCTCAGTTACATAACCTGTCACATGGGATCTGTCTGCACCACTTAGGTGTTGGCAGAGCCATAACTGTCCTGCCTGGGGCCAGGTATGTCTTGCAATATTGCAAGACTCTCTGGGAATGCTTAAAGCTCATTAAGAGAGCTGACCTCCTTAACAAGAAAAGGACCTAAGCCTGTTTTATACATAGCACTGGACAAACTAAAAGGAGGTCATTATAGCATTTCGTGTCATAGAGTGACAATGCAAATAGGATTGGATGGTGTAGGATTGGATGGTGTTTACATAACTTAAAGCATATATTTATACCCACAGGTTGACCTGACTGGGTAGGAACCTTAATGCAGCCATGACCCGAGTTGAAAGGATGTGCTAATATTACATGGCTATTTGGAGGCATATTTAAAAATAAATTATTTCTTTCCCAAGAGTGTTCTCTTTTACTCAGCATTATGCATGTTCTTGCTTACTTCTCTACTGCTAAATCTTTACCACTAAAAATACCTAATCTGATACTGTTATTACTGCTTTAACGGTGATCTCTTTTCACTGGATTCAGTTCTGTTCCTGGAGTCATATAGCACACTGTGTGAGAAATGGCGGTAAAATCTAATTTACAAAATTATTTTCTCCATCTTTTAGGAGTGTCCATGGATAGATTGTGTTGAGAAAGCTCCCTTTTTTCATTATCAATATGTTCAACCTTGAATGTGGATAGCGAGGCAGAATTTGACTCCAGGTGCAGTCCTACTTGCAAGGTAAAAATTTCAGGTGGTGTAAGTCAATATAGCACCAGTGAGCACATTGAACCCACATCAGTTTTCATCACAAGTGTTCCAGTGCTGATTTGCACCCCTATATTCTCTGCTACGGCAGCCTAAAGCTCTCTGAGAAATATTTCTGCTGTAAAAGAGCAGAAATATGTTTCTACTTGGAGAAGTACTCTATATTAGGTATTCCACAATGATACCACTTTTCAAGAATTCTCATAACTCATCTTCTTTTCAGCAGATGCCTAATTAATGTTATATAAAGGAACACTTCTGTTTGACTCTGAGGCTCTGGCTTACACAGCACACAGTGGCAGATCTCATTTTCCTTTTGCTGCACCATCTTTGTACCACATCAACCCTGTTGGCACCAGCAGAGTTATGTCTCATTCAAAAAAAAGTTAACTTGAGTAGAACTCATCCTATAGTGTCAGTCTAAATCACCATCAGCGAATCATCATAGAATGGTTTGGGTTGGCAAGGAGCTTTGAAGGTCATCTAGTTCCAACTCCCCTGCCATGGGCAGGGAAAACTTCCATTAGAGCAGGTTGCTCCAAGGCCCCATCCAACGTGGCTTTGAACATTTCCACAGCTTCTCTGGGCACTAAAAGCAAGAGTCTGGGAACCTGCCAATCTGTTGGTTCCTTTGTTTCATAATATGCAACTTGCACAGTGCCCCCACGTTAAACCTTAAGTGCTGTGTTCCTTAGCTATAAGAAATACTGTATTAACAGGAAACAATCAACATAAAATTGGGAGCCTACTGAAGTTAATAGGAAGCGTATCAGTATCTGCCAAAATGCATTTGAGATGAAAACCAGTACTATGAAAAATTTTTCTTACTGTATGTCCCATGCCAGCTTTCCTGAACAAGCAGGAAGCTGCCTGTGCCTGCTGCCCAGAGCAGGATAAGGCTAATGTTGCAGAGTCCACCTTTTTCTGGAAATACACAGAACACTGAGTTTTTCCTTTAAATTTCCAGCCTTGCCTACATTCAAAGAAAAACCTCCTTACTGCAGTATTGGAGTTCCAGGAGGTGCAAAAAAATGTATTACTACCTATTTCTGCCATTTTGTGTGTAACTCTCTCTATTTGGAGAATGGTAGTGAGATTCCTGTGGCATGGTATTCAGAATGGGAGAGCTTTCCAAACAAGTTTCTTTGTGCAGAAAATAAAAGGGAAAGAAAAGAATATGCTTTGACTACCACAGCTGTCTTTAAAAAGGATTTCTTGGCCATGCTCAACACAGCTGAATTACAGAACATCTTCTGTAATTGCAGGTGTTACCACAATCTGTATTAGTTGCCCAAGGGCTCTGAAAGAATAACCCTCATAGGCTGTTTCAGGTGAACTTTGAAGTTCAAGCCTCTGAAAATTAAGTCCTGACTGCCAGGATACAGAGATGAACCCTCCTGGGTAAGGGACTGGCCAACAAGCCACAAAGGCCTCTTTTGGCACATACATGGGGATCCCATGGGCTGTGCAGACTATTCACTTCATTCATCCACTAATGCCTTCACTGCTTGATGGGGGTACATGTCAATGCTATGCTGATGTCCTCCCCAAAATTAAAGACAAGGAACATTTTGAATCTAGCTGTCAATATTCACCATCTTGTGCTCTATTTCCATTAAGAGGAGAAATTAATAATGAAATTATAAGTTCCTTCACTGTAATCCTGTGCCTTTGTCACCAGCAAGGGCTGCTTCCCCAAATGCAGCAGGAATTAATCAACAGAAATAAATCCTTTCCACACTGTTAGAAGCACCTTCTTGACTGGCACTCCCCAAAAAGCTCTCCATGTTGCCAGTGCTGCATGTCCCTGTCTCTCCAGAGCGCAGTGCACATGACATCACCCACCTCAGCTCAGTGCAAGCATCAGGGAAAGCACAGCAGCAGGGGGCTCAGGGCCCTGCTCTTTTGGCAGATTTTGCAGTCTCTGCTGTAAGCCACCCTGAGACAAATGCCTCAAACATTTAGGCAGTAATCATCCCTGGACCTGACACTTTTTCTATGTGCCTCAGACTTCACTGGTTTCTCTTTCACAGACCTCTGCTTCTCTTGACAGCTGGACTTTATGATCTTAGAGGTCTTTCCCAGATTTAATGATTCTAAGATTCTCCCATTATAAGAATGCACTTTCAGATCCTTAAATATGTTATCTCTTAATATCAGGTTCAACTTTCCAGTTTTCCTTACTTCCTGTGTTCCATACAATGATTCTGACTTCCCAGCTCATTTTCCCAGATACTTAGCATATTCATTTTTATCCTGACAAAAGGGCAGTTACATCAATATTTCCATCTACACCAATACTTCAGCTTCTGGATTAGAAATTTCTCTTCAGGAAAGGGTCCCATACTGCTTTTTTCTCCTCGTCAGTTCTTGCCACTGGAGATCCCTGCAGGATTTGGAATAGCAATGGCCTATGTCACTTGAGACTCTGGATGGTAGCAGGCCCTGACTCTCACATGCACCACAGTCCATTGCCTACAACTATAAATGCTTTTTTCCCCCCTCACTGTTTTCTTTTTTTTTTTTTTTAATCTATTTCTAAAGACCTTTGTAGCCATCCTGCAGCAGAGTGAGGGAGGAAGGAGGTAAGCAGGTCAGGTGTGGGAGTTAAACCACAGGAAGAGGTGATGGAGGTGCCCAGGTGAGCAGGGTCCCCCCAGTGCAGCAGGGTTATCTCAGAAAGCCCCTTGCAAAAAGCACACAAGTCTCACTGGGACTTGCTCAGACTGCTGCTGGTGGTTCTTGCTTGCAATGCTGTTATTGCTGACTTGTGTGTGCTGACCCATGGGTATTATTTGAGCCCCAAGCAATGGTGGCAAAGGCAGGGGAAAGGCAGGTGGTTCTCCCCCTGCCACAGTTGCTTCCCATGGGAACCTGCCACAGCCACATTACTGGCTTTGGTGGGGCAAGGTCACGAGACTGACAATGTGAGAGCAAGAACATGAGCCCAAGGAGGGGATAATCCTGCCCCACGGGTGGCTGGGGTGAAGGCACCCCTCTCTGCCAGGGGAAGGCAGGCTGCACACCTGAAGACAGGAGGCTTTTGGCAGCCCCAAGGCACCTCAGGCAGGTGGCATGTGTGCATGTTGATGGGCAACAGTTTCTTGTGACCCACCATATGCTCAAGGGGTTGGGAGTGGTGTCTCCCACGGTGGTTTCTCCTACCTGACGGGAACAGACTGCAGGCAGAACACTGCAGGGCACTGCCTATGTGCTGAACAATAAATGGTTTAAAGCAAGACTCCCTGCTGGCTTTGAGGATCATAAAGCTTGATTTACTCCAGGCCCTCCACACTGATACAAGGGCAAAATTTTACAAGAGGATTTCCCATAACGCATTCACAATTTTCATTCTATACTTCAATGACAACCTGACATTTGGAAGTCATAATTTTGAAAACAATCCAGATATTTAACTAAAGAAGTACTTTCTAAAATTCATCATCCTTAAAGAGGCCAGGGTGGAGGAATACAGGGCAGGATTCTGAACTTACCTATGGCTTTCACTGCATCCGTTGTGCAGGATAGGAGTAAACACAAAGGTTTGTCTTTGTAGGCAAATCAATAAAATCAACCATATAAAGAAAACAAACCAGAAAATCTTCCTCTACACACAACTGTATGAGTAATCCTGAGCTTTTTGACTTCAACAGTTATTAGATCTGAGAGTATGTCCTTGCAAATCATTCTGTGCATTACTTAAAAATTAGAGCTAAGCTAAAAGGAATTTTGCCTAAGCCAAATGTAACTGTCGGAGTAACAGGACTGGGCACTGTCAGCTTACAGAAGGAAGAGATGGTCCTACCCCAAAGAACCTACAGTCTGTGGGGAGGCAGATGGCTGCCACCAGTTGAAGAAGCCCAGGGAAACAAAGAGAACGTATCGCTTGGCATGCGAGGCAATGTTCTCAGCTCGCTCACAGTCAGACTGTTTGCAAATTTTTTAGGCATTGCAGCAAAGCACAGAGCTAAGGAGGGATATGAGGGTGGTTAATGAATTTTAAGATGATGAGGCAGGC